CCTAGCCCCAACTGGTCCACTGTCAATCGGCCTAGGGGGGCTACCCCAAGGCCACCCATCTACAGGAATTCAAGGCCAAAGTGGTGTGTTGCAGTGCCCCAGACACCACTCAACCACCAGGACCCTCTCCTCCCCTTCACGGGTCGCCAAGCGCGACAAACACGTGGGTGGATGTTTAGATCCCAGAGAAAGTAACTGAAAATACAGAACCTTCTCTGGGAGGGGACCACCATGTACAGGAATCCACCTCGAGGGGAAGATACTGTAGATATGATCTTGAAAATGCAGCTGTTACAAGGTTGAATCACATGAATGAACCAGTATCTTTCATTTTTATCTGATCTCAAAATTCATTATACTATAGAATATATTGTAAACTGAGGTTGGTTAGAAAATAAATGAAAACTGAGCTCACTATATTTAATATATAATACCTGCATTATTTTGTGAAATCTCTCAGTACTATCAAAGGTAAAAAAAAAACTAGTAATTATATGTTTGTAGATGCACATAATGTATTGTGTACTTTGACATAAAGTAAAATATTTGAAATTGTTAAGTTTACTGATTGTAAGGGTTAAATTTTACCTTAACTGTATTATTCTGTCATTTATCACATGTAATTAATACAAGCATGGAATGTTTGTATTGTTTTTAGGGAAACAGTTTAACTTGAAAGGTCATGTCATTTGTAATTTTTAATCTCAATGAAAATACATACTTCAAAAAAGATATCTTGAGAAAAAATGCAATTTCATCAAGTATTTAAAAAGTATATCCTGCAAAAGATCATTCTTAGTAGTTATTCTAAGAGGCAAAACATTATAAGATAATAATATTATACAAACCTAGTAATAAGTTCATGTTTAATTCATCATATAACTACTACTATAGCATCCAGGACTTTCAACCTCTGACCACTCTCATGAAGACTCCCTGTCCTGTGCAACCTCTGACCATTCTTCATCTTCTTTACAAACATCAAAAGCACCCTCAACAACATTACCTTATCATCTTTTTCTCAGTCTTCCTAATGGTTACGGTTTTATAATGATGTTGTATATTCTAATGTTAGTTTCTCTGCTGACACTTCTTTTACTTAGCATTTCTTTAAAGCTCCAGAATCTTTTATGTCCACTTACAACTTTATTTATCACCTCTGCTTTCATATTCTTATCTCTTTTCACTGTTCTCATTCACATATTCCAAATTTCTGTTCATTGCTCTCTTTTGTTCTCCAAGCTCATCACTTCTACATACTCTCATAATCTTCGTTCTTTTCTTAATTTATGGTTAATCCCATCTTCTCAGCCATCTATTTGAAAGACAATGCTAATTCTGTAATCACTTCTTTGCTTTCAGCTATATTGTCTACATTATCTGCAAAGACAACTAAATCTATAATTCAATTTTGGTTATCCCATCTCAGGCTCAATCCTGGATGCCTATGCAGAATTTCTTTTGCTGCTTTCTCCAGTGCAATATTGAAAAGCAATGGTGACAGGAGTAATCCCTGTCTTATGCCACTCTCCACCTTGAAAAAACACTTATTCCCCTCATAATAAACCATTTTTATTAGTTTATCTGGAATTCCACTCTTTCATGATCTTCCACAGAGTTGGTCTATAAATATATACAGTCATAGGCCTGCTTATTGATCAGTAAGTGCCAATATTGCTTATTATACTCCATCACTTTCTCTGAAACTGCCTCACCACAAAAAAATAGTCCATAATTGATTTCTTAGCCTTGAATCCTGCTTGGTAGTCTCCAAAAATTTCAACAGTTTGTAGCTTTAGCTTTCTGTAAATGATTTTAGTGAGTATCTTACACATTGATAATAACAGTGCAATACTTCTATAATTCTTACTTTCCAGTAGTTTTTCCTTTTTGTGTATTGGGATTAATAGAGCTATTTTCCAATCAGTAAGTATATTTTCTTTGTTCCATATTTTCTTATTTCATATATCTGTTATGCTTATATATAATGAGAATATCTTCTTATACATGAGCTGCAATGTTTTGATAAACCAAATCCCTACAAGGAATTCCTGATGTTTCCTTTTTTAACTTGAGTACATGAGAAGAGCTAACTTTTTTATATAAATTTTCAGCTTACTTAATACTTCTAATGACAGCCAGTTGTACATAGCTACAGAGTAATAATAGAGAAATCACTCAAATTTATCCACAATTTGAAGTAAACTTGCAGAAAGAGATCTACATACCACATTGCAAATGATTAAAGTTTTTAATGTTGCTTGCATAATATTTCTATTTGGCATTTTTCTAAAACAATTTTAACACATTCAGGTAAGAAGTCAATATCATAACTACTGAATCAGTAATATTAAGGATCTCAGTGATAAAGATTTTATATAAATTATTGCTGAAGATTCTAAGACTAATATTTTTGAAAGTAATGGATCTCTTGCTCACCATGTACATTGGAGAGCCACAGAGTGTCATAGCCATTACTCCCTCTTCAAGAAAACGAGCAAACCCAAAATCTGCAATTTTCAAAGTGATCTCATTTGGTTTTGGGCTTGACTTCCCTGAATGGCACAATAATATATTCTGAGGTTTCAAGTCTCGATGAACAATGTCTTTTGCATTAAGAGCTTTCATGGCTTCAGCTGTGATGATAGAAAGACAAATAAAATATTATTAAAACATAATTAATATATGAACTGGTAACTGAAGAAAGTTAGCAATGTAATTGTTAATAACCAACTACTCAAAACAACTAAGGGATAATAAGAGTATTCTAAATCACGGCTATGGCAGTGATCTAATATGCTAGTGGAGTCTGTGTCCACAAATGCTCATATGGTATTATAGGCTTTGTACCCCTAAAACATTTGTTATCAAGATGTATGACCACTTTGGACATTAATGCATGGCATGTATAAATTAAGTAAATCAATGAGCTGTTAGGGTAATATAATGCACTCCTCAATACCATTTATCAACTCTGTTTGGAGATGAACTGTGTATTGTGTGTTAAGCATGGTGGCTAGTAAATACGCTTGACACCTTCTTTCCAACTGAGCAAACAGACACACATTATCATCCATTAAAATACAGTTCTGACCAACTGCACCTTTATATGATAGCACTAATACCTGTAAGACTACATACCTCAAATAGTAGTAATAGTTTGCTATATGATGAGATGAAGAACAACGAAACTTTAGTTCTTAATTTTCATAAAGCTAATAACACAAGATTTATCATTAGTGGATTGTGATAAAAGGTGATGTGGAACAGACTTATGAAATTAAAAAAAAAAAATTATTTTGAATTCAAGATAGGAATAAGAGAGAAAAAAGGATAACAGGGAATATAAAAACCTAATTAACTTACTAAAGACAAAGAAAATCTATGTGTGTGCGTGTGAATGTTTCGATCTCTCTATGGGTCTGTTCTTTATGCACAGCCACATCTTTATAGCTACAAACTACAAACTCAGGGTACATATACAACTGTGTGTGAAAGTAACATGGGATATGTGGCCATGGCCTCAGAGGCTATTTTGAAGCCACAAATTGATGCCAAAGTGACCATTACAGCAATTTTTGACAAACAAGATGACCAACTGGTCTCAAATCAAAAACAAAATTCTTTGGTAATGTGTGATCAAGGGCTATTATTTAAATTTCTTCTCCATGTGAGGACTTTCCCTAATTTAAAAAAATTATGGAGCCTTCGTTTGTGCTCTCTCTCCTTCCCTCTCTCTTTCTTCTATACATATATGCTTACTCTCTAACTCCTATTAACTGAAAAAGGCTGGTGCTCTCTCTCGAACATGCATGCACACTCCCTCAACTAAATAGGCTTGCTTCAGCCATATCTTTTGCTTTGCTTGCATGTACTCACAAGAATCACCTATACAATGACTTTACAAAAACATTTGGTATCGATAAATTTTCATTTATGTTGTGTTGCAAACAAGAAGAGAATAAATCAGTTCTTCATTAAATGGAATGATGAAAAAGTCAGAATATGCTGCAAATGACAACTGACCACACAGCAGAAATCAGGACACCAAAAGTTAAGAAATTATGTTTTGGAAACTGGAAATCTCATGTAAAGCACATACAAAAAGCAGGACCAATGTACCAGTTTCGCTTTGATTGAAATAGCTTTAGTAATTTTTTTTTTCACATATTGTTAGTTATTGATTTTAATAAAAATATTTAGTTAAATAAAGAAATCTTTTTGATTTTTTTGCAAAAGTTTAGATTAACATGGTTGATTTAATCAAAACAACTCAGGATATTTAAAGTCACTTACATCCAAGTGAAGAATAAATACCATACATTTAAGAAGTTTAAACTAACAGATAAGATAGAAGATTTACAGAACTATAAGACAGCTACAAATTTTAGTTAAAAAAGGAATTAAGAAATCAAAATGTTATGTTAAAACTAATAACAATAATCTTTTTAAATATATTAAAGATAAACAAAATATTAAAATGGGGATTGGGCCTTTAAAGGATGATGATGGTACAATTTTTGTTGAGAACTATGAGATGGCAACACATCTAAATGTTCTCTTCTCTCTCTCTTTTTTTAATATAAAAGAGAAGATAATAGTAATAATCCTGATCCTGAGAAATCTATGGGAAATTTTGGAATTAACATGAATCATCTATAAGTAATTCCTTAATGGTAAGCACTAGGATGACACAATGTTCCTTCAGGGATTTTAAATGAGGTCAAAAATCAGATATGAAAGCCCTTTCTTTTTTGGTAGGTGATATGATGATCACACATATGAGAATTGGAGAGTTGCTTATATTACTCCTATTTTGAAGGGTGATGATAAGAGCTATCCTCAAAATTTCTACAGAGTCTGATTAAAGATTCTTTGCAAAATCATTTAGTAAAGTTTGCTTATTCCCCACAATAAAACTCAACTCACGAACAAAATTGACACTAACAAACCCAACAACAGTACATTACACTGCAGTTTA